TGTCCCTATGGGTCCCTATGGGGCCTTGGGGACCTCAACGTCCCTATGGACCAACCTGGAGACCCTCTTGTCCCTATGGGTCCCTATGGCCTCTTGGGGACCCTATGGGTTCCTACAGACCCACCTGGAGACCCTCCTGTCCCCAAGGGTCCCCATGGCTCCTTGAGGAACCTGCTGTCCCCACAGACCCACCTGGAGACCCTTGTGTCCCTATGGGTCCCTATGGGGCCTTGGGGACATCCCTGTCCCCCATGGGACCCTATAGGAACCTATAGGTTCCCTTGGGGACCCTCGTGTCCCCACTGGTCCACCTGGAGACCCCCTTGTCCAATGGGGACACTGGGGGACATTGGGGGACACTGAGGTACCCTCAGAGGGGAGCTCGAAGCCGCAGTCGACGATGGCGCCAACATGATGGACACCATGGAGAACACGAGGGCCACCACAAGGGGACACGACGGGACACCAGGGACACAGGGGACACCAGGGGACACTGGGGGACATTGAGGGACATTGGGGGACATTGGGGGACACTGGGGACCCCCGTACCCTCGGAGGGAAGCTCGAAGCCGCAGTCGACGATGGCGCCAACATGATGGACACCATGGAGAACACGAGGGCCACCAAAGACAACACAAGGGGACATGACGGGACACCAGGGACACGAGGGGACATTGGGGGACATTATGGGACATTTAGGGACATTGGGGGACACTGGGGACCCCCGTACCCTCGGAGGGGTGCTCGAAGCCGCAGTCGACGATGGCGCCAACACGATGGACACCATGGAGAACATGAGGGGCCACCACAAGGGGACATGACGGGACACCAGGGACACGAGGGGACACCAGGGACATTGGGGGACACTGGGGGACATCAGGGGACATTGGGGGACATTGGGGACCCCCGTACCCTCAGAGGGGAGCTCGAAGCCGCAGTCGACGATGGCGCCAACACGATGGACACCATGGAGAACATGAGGGCCACCACATGGAACATGACGGGACACCAGGGACACGAGGGGACACCAGGGGACACTGGGGGACACTGGGGGACACTGGGGACCCCCGTACCCTCGGAGGGGTGCTCGAAGCCGCAGTCGACGATGGCGCGCAGCAGCTCGGGCTTGAGCAGGAAGTCGCGGAAGCCGGAGCTGTGGATGGACACGTAGGAGCCCTTGACGTCCTTCTTGGCGCCGCCGCCGCCGTCGCCGCCGTCGCCGCCGCCCGCCGCCTCCACCTCGTCGTCCTCGTAGTCCAGCAGCTCGTTGTCCACGTCGTTCTCCGCCATGCTGCCGCCTGCGGGCACGGCACGGGGGCGTCAGCACCGGGGCCGCGGCGCCCGGGGGCCCAGGCGTCCGGGACCGAGATAATGAACGGGGCCCCGGCGTCCGGGAGGGCCCCGGCGGCCAGGAACCCGGATAATGAACGGGGGGCCCCGGCGTCCGGAACTGAGATAATGAACGGGGGGCCCCGGCGTCCGGGAACCCGGATAATGAATGGGGGGCCCCAGTGTCCGGGAGGGCCCCGGCGTCCGGGAACCCGGATAATGAATGGGGGGCCCTGGCGTCCGAGGGGCCCCGGCGGCCGGGACCGAGATAATGAACGGGGCCCCGGCGTCCGGGAGAGACCCAGATCATCAATGGGGGCCCTGGCGTCCGGGAACCCGGATAACGAATGGGGGGCCGCGCCGCTCTCCGCCATGGGGACCCCTATGGGGCACTGGGAGGCTCAGGGGGCCCCGGTGTCCGGGGGGGCCCCGGCGTCCGGGGGGGCCCAGACCCC